TTCATCTAGCAAAGCGCTCCTTTGTGTGTTTACATGCGTGTGTGTGTGTGTGTGTGTGTGTGTGTGTGTGTGTGAGTGTACTGCCTCTCGGAGAGGGGCTGCCAAGCCATCATTAGCATATAAGAGAGATAAGATAAGATAGATCTTTATTGTCACTATTACAGAAACAGTGAAAAACAATTTAGCAGCATAAGTCAAAGTAGTAAATAAAAAATAAGAACTACACACAAAAAGAGACAAGCCATCCTATTACAGCATGAGTGTCTGAGTACAATGTGTACAATGTGTCAGTCGAGGTAGTGTGTGCTTAATGAACTGCCCTAAGCATCGTAATATGCCATCATATTAGCCGTCATATTAGCATGATGATATTATATATATATATTATATTAGCATGAAGCATCTAATGTAGTAACACTATAGCCAGATAAACTCCGTGCAGTGCTGCTCAGTCAGTGCAACATCGGTGCTCATTTAGCACACCCTAACTATGAACTTATTAATCAATCCGTTCATCAATGAAATTTTATTTAATTTTTGTGCACTGCCTAGCATAAGAAGCATACATTCTGTTCTATATAGAAACCAAAATACCCTCGATAAGAAAGGTGAAGTAGGTTAATAGCTATTAATTCTACAGTAATAGAAAGCTTCTAATCTATTGCGAATAAGTTTTCTTTGTTCTGATTTAACCGGGTTTCCACCTGCAGCCTTGTACCTGAATGGGTGCTAACAGTGTGGAGGTCACGGGGGCCGACCTTGAAATGGGGCCGCCATTGTATTAATTGAAATTTGACCAGGCATGCCACGACAATTTTTACATTTATTTAACATTATTCTTGACATAATGGTGTGTTGGGTACAGAGGTAGCCACAGATATCCAGGGCTGCGGGTTCGAATCCGGCCTGGCTCTTTGTGTGTGTGGACCTCCCCCCGTGTTTGTCTGCGTTGCACACACAGGTCTGTGCCTGGCTGGCTTTGTGTGCAGGTTACAATCCCTTGCTGAAGGTTCTGGATCAGCACAAGCCTCATGTGATGCAGGATTGTTAGCGATGGATCAATGATTATCACATTAATGTTTTCTCTGCAATGTCTCATTTTTTTGGGCTGAAAACATTCAAAATACTTCATTTCCAAAATCACTCACCATCAGGGTTATAGCTAGAAATTCTGGGCCAGCCGACAAAATGTCACCTTGGCCCCCCTCTATAAATTTTTCTGTAGATTTTGCTGAGCAGGGAGCCCCTGACCGCAGATTTTCAGCCCCTGTACAGTATTGGGCCCCTGGACCCTCCAACACTTCTTTGAAAGTCTTTCACTCTGCTTTCTGGACTTAACAGCAGAACAAATGTTGCCGTTTAAGGCAAACGCCGGAGGATTTACGGGGTGAGGGGAGAATTGGCGTGTACTTATATTGTATACAATGGAGTCTTGGAATTCATCAACTGGGTTAATTAAAATTATTTAATCGGGAAAAAGGATGTAATTGCCAACATTCTTCCTTCGTCCCTGTAAGAGCCAGAGGGATTATACACAAGGAAAATGAACTCAAATGAACTCAACTGTTTTCTGAAAAGGATCGCTGCATTCAGCTGCTCTCGGAATGACGCCCGTCACCCGCGGCACGGGATCCCACCTTATATACCGCGGAATTCTCTGCAGCGATCAGCAGGGGGCGCAGCATCCATCTCGTTTATACCTGTCCCCGACTCAAGGTAATTAGCGGAGATTAATGCAGGGCTCCTTCTTCTTACGTGCCTTTGTTTCATCCCTCCCCTATGTCCACACTTTGTTTCCATCGGGTCTTGCTGCTGATGTGGAGACTCGAGGCTGGGCAGACGATCAGACCGCGTCGCTAATGTCCGGTAATGGCCCTAAATGTATGGGCATTAACATGTCTCGCTCAGGGCCGGATCCGGCACCGGACGCAGCCCAGACGTTCCGCCCAGAGGACGTGTTCTGTTCATTCTCCATTTCGTTCTCAATGACATGCTCTAAATTGACGGTTTGATGTTTTATTTTCATTAATTACACCTGTGCTTATCAGATGCCGTTATTCAAAGTGGGACTGACAAACCTCGTCATTTTTATATATGACCAATTTCACAGCTGGACGCGCTGAAGTATTTAAAGGGGAAGGACGTTACGCAGCAGCCCACCTGGGACTCACAACCCACCATGTCCTGGTTAACAGGTTGATCACTCAGACAGCCGATTCCTCACCCACCATCTAGCTACTTAAAGTATTTCTTGGGAAAGCCTGGAACAAGGCTGGAGATATTACAGTTTTTATTAGGGTATTTAATCCTTCCGAAATAGGATTAGAATAAAATGTAAAGAGACAAAATAGGAGAAACGACGGTGATATTACGATTTTAAATATGCAGAGCTGTCAACTAGCACAGATGCATGTAGGCCTATGACATGTGTGAAGCAACTGAGAAAGATGTTTTAATTTTAAAAATGAGTCAGTTATGTTACGGCTTGGCATTATTAGTTTGCTGGATTAAATTTTGTTGATGCGGGTCATTTTAAGTAGCCCTCTCAAAAAAAGGTAAAGCAATAGGCATATTAAAGCCTGTAAATAAGCAGATTTATGAATGAATTTAAAATAAAAAAAATCTGCGAAGTTCAAGGCGGGGAGTACTTCTTTCTGGCAGTAACAAGACGTTAGTTTGCCTTTGCCGTTATGGTAGCGATGGCTGAAGCGGAGAGACGCTCCTTGGAGATGCGCAGAGCCGGGCGGGGACCGTCTCTGTCACGCGATAAATCATTTCGCTTCACCGGGGACACAGTTCAAAATTCATCACAATATTTATGGGTTTAGCAGAAGCTTTTATTGCAGGGCAACTTCCATTACAGAGACATGTTGGGTATTTACTGAAGCAATTTCCCCAGCTGTGACATTATTTCATTCTTTACGTGTTTGGGAGATGGTCTTATACAGCAGAGCTCTCTGCTTCACACTTTGTCCGTTAACATAACTGGATATTTTACAGGCAATTTAGATTAAGTGTCTTGATGAAAGTAACAGCTGTGCTTTAACTTTCTACCTTCTGGTCCTAAGTCTAGCTTCTTGCCCGCTATTCCAAAGGGAACGGAGATTTAAACCATGCAGGCAGAGTTATGTTATCGATGTCAGTCACGGACTTCATGTTAACCGAACGACCCCCTGGATCACATCCTACAGAGGGCTCGGGAATGAGAAAACAATGCCCCAGGCTGACTGGGGATGCACTGAAAGCCAATGTCATATTTCACATATAATAACCCTCTCACGCGTCTGAATCTTTGAAAATGACCATAAAAAACAAGGTAAGCGCACTATCTTGACAGTTTTTACCATTACAATACATTTACGCGCATTTTCTTGGCTGATGTTATTATCTAAAACCACTTACAACTGTCACCTATTTGCACAGCAGGATGTTCTACTGAAATACTTAAGGTGAAGCACCCCAGTTGCCGGTATCAGGGCCTCTACTGAGATCCTATGATGACAAACATTTGTTTCCGCCTGCATTCAAGCCATCCCGTAGAACTGAAATGGACGTGTTGCTTTGTTCTTGTAAAGGTTACAGCACAGTATATGAAATAAAATAAAATATGCAGATAAGCGGTTGGAAGGTGGGTAAATAGTTTGTTACAAAAATTATATAACATTATAAAATATAATGTGAACAATCGCGATTTATCCGAATACTTTTGTTCTGCTCATAAAATTGCATAAGTGTTACACAACCACTTTTCTTTTACACAGATAGGCCTATTTGAAAGCCATAATAAAAACAAAATACCAGCCAACTTGTTACACTGTATTTCCAAGTGTGCCAAACATCCTTTTTCATATGAACTGTCTCTACATGCATTTTAAGTAAGATGTAGTTTAAACAATGGTTATAGGTGATTCCACCGAGCTGGTGCCATTTGTACGTTATAAATCTTCAAAACTAAATTTCTTTTTTTCATATTTTTCAACACTGAATTTAATTAAACATTTCAGGTAACTTTATTTCCATTTGTTCAAGGTTTTTAAGTGGAAGATGGTTGTATTTTTCTCAATCCTGTATAACCAAAACCTCAAGCAACTTTAATTTAAATAACTTGAATATATGAATTAGGTGTACAGGTAGTTCTCTTGTGTCCCCCCGTGAATTTTAAAGAATTTAAAAGAAATTATGGGTTACATGTTCAAAAAATATATGTTTGTGGTTTAAAAAAAATCACTATATAAGCATTCAAGTTGTACTTTTCACCTTATATGAGTAACAGGACAGAAAGTAACAGGACTGAACTTCAGCATAAAATTAGAAAATTCATGATCAGCCGCCTGTTACATACTTATCAATATCATGAAAAATACAGGAAAGAAAGAAGAACTTACTTTACAGTGAAAGCCTGAGGACACTGTTAAAATGTGTATTTAACTAGCATATTATTGATTTATAATAATGAAAATGTATTTAAAGCATAAATGGAACATACCGTCACAGAACAATCCAAAAACAAGATTTGTGAAGGTTGTTAATCATGGTGAAGTGTAGCATTAGGGAGCAGAGACAGGTGACATACTCTATTTTTTTAGTGTATTGGATAGTTTTCATTAATGTTTTACATTATGTATGTTACATTTGCAATGAGGACTTTGTGGACACTTTGCATGATAATAACTTGTATTCTAAGCTATTTTCATGCATATTTATACACATAATGTCCTGGGGACAGAAATAGCACTTATTCGGTAGAATGGTCCTTATACACGTATATAATTCAATAATTTGTTAATAAATACCAAAACACACCGGCGATCTATAATAGGACAATCGGTTACAGTAAATGGATGGAGGGGTGGAAATATCAAAACAAAACAAACAAAACATGAAAATGTTTTTTTTTTTCTTTTTTAAAGTAAAAGCAGTAAAACTACATATCCCACGATGTCCTATGGGTTGCCTTCTCAACCACGCATGCTGGACGTCTCCTTCCAGTGGGCGTTTCCCGGGCCTCCATTGGCTGGCGGCAGCGCTCCGATAGATTGTCGCCGTGTTTGGGTGTAGCAGCTTACGGGGGGAAATGGCGGCCGATACGGGGAGATACCGGGGTTCAGTCACGAAAAGCAATGACCCTTCCGGGCTTCTCATCTCTGTCATCAGGTAGGCAAGGTGGCCATTTACACGGGCGACTGGAAACCAGTCAGCTCTTTGGTTTGGGGTGGGTGGCAAACCCCTTACTGTCGTTAAACGGGCGTTGTTTTCGGCCTGGATCATCAGTTACGTTCTGCTGTATCCGGTGTTTTGAGGTTCTATTTTAAATCGCGATAAAACAATTCAGCATAAATGTAATGCAGTGTACGCAAGAGTTAAATAGGCGGCATTTATGCGGTATCCGAGGTGAACAGCTAAAATGACAAGCTGTTATTTGCATCTAATTGTCAGTATATAAAAGGCAGCGCTACGTTTAAGAATGAATATTAACGCTGACATTAATTACTTGAGCGTAAAAGAGGTAAAGCGTCCATTACTGAGAACAAACGGAGAATAAAGGGTTCGGCAGCGGTGTAGATTGGTTGAGTAGCATGTATCTTTATCGGTGGCGCTCTTTCCTCCGCATTCCTTTGAGAGAGACGGGGCTCCGCCGTTTTAAAACGCCGCACGTTCCCGCCTGGCTTTCGGGGAGCTGGCCTGTGAAATTGTATGCGAAGAAACGCGACAACCAGAGTCAATTTCAGCGTCTGGTGAGCCGCTGCCGGTCTCCGCTTCCTGCTCCGTCGTGCCGTGCAGTAGCCTCTCTCGTCTTCCTTCATCCTCTCTCCACTACCCCCTCCCTGCAAGATTAGTCCCTGATTTCCCCCTCCTCCTAGGTCACCTTACACACCAAAAGTTTTCCTACACAGAGCATAGTGTCTAGTAAACGATACCCAAAATCAACGCAGATGGTTTATGCCTGGTATTAACACCCTTCTGTCAATCACCAGGTAAACCTTCATCAAAAATGGGGAGCAAATGGTGTGAAATATATTATATGTACATCATACAACTTTGTTGTCTTGTGAAGATGCCTTCCTCAGCTGGTCATGTAATCCTGGGTGAAAGATGGGTTCAAGTCTCACTACAGGCAGTGTATCTGACCATTTTGATACAATATGTAACTGGATTTATGCAACTCTAAGAAATCCACTCCCTGTATTACACCTGCAGGAACCTGACCAGCCTATAGGAGGCACTGGTTCAAGCTGACTTAATGAGGCAGGCTTGAGACATCCCTCCGGTGCAGTTGGATGCCATAAATCATTCTTGTCTGCTGTGAAAGTCTGGCAGGGCATGGAAAGAGCCTTACCGTAGGCTCTGTGCTCCTTGTGCATGGGGCCGGTTCTTTCTTCTGCTCGGTAGGGGGCCTGAGGGTGAGTGTGCCCCCCAGTGCTCTGTAGGCCCCATGCCAGGATTTAGCAGTTAGATGTCGTACTCGTGTGCAGTTTTGTTTGCTGTTAAATTAATGGGCTGTGATGAAAAGTGCTGTGAGCATTTAACTATGGTTTCATTATCTTCTCCCCAGTCCATTGCCCCTCTGCATTTGCCTGAGAGCAGATTTCCCTGTGCTGAGTTTGAGTTTACATGTCCCACTCATTCGGATGCCCCCATGCCCCACCTCTTGCTGCCTTCCTTCAGGATCTTTGGAAGGGTCTTTGGACCCACTCTAGTTAGCTCGTAGCTGAAGTAGCCTTTCTCCACTGGTTTTGTTGCTTTTCGCTTCGCCTTGGGGATGTTTCCAGGCAGACGAGCTTCTGAAGATAGTCAGAGGAGAGTGTCTCCAGCCGTCTGTTCTGTCTGCGGGGGATGTGTATCCCAAAGCGACAGCTGTCATGATGAACGCCCTGTTGTCATGTGACTCGTTTCCACTGGAGCGTCGGTGTGTCTAGCCGGAAGCACAATGCTCTGGCCTCTGACGTACTCGTGCGCAATGTCTGCGCAGGACACTGTCGAGCAGCGACAATGTGCAGGACCGGGAGACGGAGAAGGGTCGCCTGGAGGAGGCCTATGAGAAGTGCGACCGCGACCTGGACCAGCAGATAGTGCAGCACTACACGGAGCTGACCACAGCCATCCGCACCTACCAGAGCATCACTGAGCGCATCACCAGCTCCCGTAACAAGATCAAGCAGGTAAGCGGCAGGCATCCCAATGCTCTCAAAACATTAGTACTTTTGGTATGGTACTTTTGGTACTTTCCTTTTCTATTGACCAGTACCAATACCAAAAGTTCCAGTACCAAAAGTGCCAAACCAGCTTGGGTACTTCTTTGGTACTCTGGTACTTTGGGGTGGGACTTGAATCACTTTCTTTGTTGATTGGTTATGCAAATATCCTGCCTCTAAACATATTACAACTGCCATGTTGAAAAAAATGAGAAGACAACGATAAACCAATTCAAACACACACACATTTTATATATATATATATAAAAAATGTGTAATCTGTTCAGAGGAACAGATACAACAAAAAGATCAGGATGGTATGACAAGAAATTTTAAAAGTATTTTGTTTGTTTATGCGTAACATGCGATGTTGATATTAATATCACACATCGTCGAGCCCTGTAATATACTACCACCATTGAATTCAATAGAAAATACCCCACCTCATGGTGTGATGTCATTCGGAGCCGGTACCACTTTTTATGTCGGTGGAAAACCTTTGTAATGCTGATGGTCACATGACAGGGTCAGCAGGTTGGCCTCATTGATGGTCACATGACAGGGTTGTTCATAGTCCAGGAAAAAGGAAACACATTCTCATTTCCCTCTCTGGCCCTGGAAGCCTAGTCATGTTTCAAACGGGTCCTAAGGGACCCCTGGACAGTCCAAGTTTTGCTGTATTGCATAGAGCCTGTTGGAGACGGATCCCAAACGGACTTGGCGGTTGGTGCCTCAGAACTGCTGCTTTATCATTACTGGGAGGGTCTGTAGGACGGCAGCTGGACAGGAGATACTTAAACACAAAGCGCTGTGTCTCCAGATGAACAGCCTGCTCTTATGCTCTGCATTGTCTAGTGTGTGATATTATTTATATGCCGAATAATAAGCGGTTTATGTGACTGATTATGTTTCCCTGCTGTGCTGCTTGTTAGTTATGAGTATGCAAGATGAATATAGTCGTCTTTATGGGGGAACGGTCGCCAGATGCACGGTGCCGAGCCCAGTTACTAGGGTGAACCCCACGGGTGTGGATGGGGGGGGGGGGCTGTGGACGGGCAGGTTCTGAGTGTGTGTGAAGTGCGGCTTTCACGCTCTATGCTGCCCGTATTCTCACCCTGACCGGCCGCCGCGAGGGCCCTCGCTCACCGGGGTGCCTGTCAGGCTGTGAGGATGGGCAGCCCAGGCGGTACAGCGGGGTCACGCAGAGCTTCCCGGTGTTCCCGGGACAGCTGTCAGAGACGGTGCGGGGGGGGGGGCTGCCGCTGCCCTTCTGTTTACAGCTTGGTCTCCGAGGCAACTGGATGGATGCAGCCATTCGATTGCAAGGCCGTGTGGCGTTGGGCTAATTTTTGCAGACTTCGTGTAAAGTGTTTGCTTATGAGCTCATACAGATCGCACTGATTAATGGGCGCCCACTAAAGGCAACCGAGACCCTTCCCTCCTCCATTAGACCCATTTGCACTGCGTATGGATGGGAAGTGTGTGTCTGCCTCTGTTTCTGAAACACTGCCGTCTTACTGCTGTCAGACAGTCCGCTGGGCCATTTTTTATGCTAATGTTTAAGGAACATTGTCTGCCCATGGTCCCGACTGCTGTCAGAGCTGGGAGACGTCGTTCTTTGATTCCTTTGAACTGCCGCAGCCCTCTTCCCTGTTTACCGGGAAGCTGGATCGCAGGCATCTTCCCTGCTATTCTGACTTTTCCCACCAGACCTCCTGATTCCAATTGCACTGCCAGTGTGGGCTGGGTGGTCTGCCTGGCGCTGTGCCCAGTACTCGTGCTGTTACCGTCCCGTCCTCTCGCGTTTGCTCATTTGCCCTCGACCAGTGAGTATGATTCGCGGCTAACCTGTGATTGGGATCTGGGAGACAGTTCTGCTCTGAACCGTTCAGTATGGTGCAGAGATTGTATTAGCTATATAAACTTGTTTATTGGACTGTTGATTTACTTTTATGCAGTCCCCCGTGTGCCTTACCCTTCAAGATGGCTCTGGTTGGCCCTGCCCCAAATCTTATATTCTTTTTACATGGCTCTGGTCACCCTGCCCCCCAATTGCATTACCCTTTAAAGGGACCCTATTATGCTTTCCTGGTTTTCCCCTTTCCTTCAGTGTGTTATATAGCTTTCTGTGCATGTCTGCAAAGGCCCACACTCTAAAGGCAGTAACTCACCACAGAAACCACTCTTCTCTAATCTGCCTGAAATGCCTCGTTGGAATTCCAGCCCTGACTTTCGTGACATAGTGAGGTCACCTCGTAACGCGAACCTCATTGGCCGTCTACCTTCAAGGATCTGTCCGCCGTTCTGTAAGAAAGGGCGGAACATGTAGAAGCTGACCAGTTAGAGTACACTGGCCTCATCGGGGGTGGGGCTTAAAGCTGTAAGTGTTTCAGACAGTTTTAGAATGTGAATAGATTTACAGTATGAGTAAAATGTGTCTTTGGAACATTGAAGCATGTGAATCTATTGTAATAGACACCAATAATAACATTTTGAACAGTTAAAATGAGTATAATAGATGCCCTTAAAGGTGTGGTTGGTCCCACCCCCGTGACCGTGACCCCCACTTCTCTTACCCTTTCTGGTGGGTGTGGTCCGCCCGGCCCCCTCGTCCTTTACTCTCTGATGGCTTAGCCGTACATGCTAATTCTAAGCAGCTCACCTTCACCTCAGTCCCATCGGTAGCATCCAGAAGAGGGCCGCTTTCCCCCGCTTACATCACTCTCTCCCTCCCCAGGTGAAGGAGAACCTGCAGTCATGTAAAATGCTGCTTCACTGCAAACGGGACGAGCTGCGGAAGCTCTGGATCGAGGGCATTGAGCATAAGCACGTGCTCAACCTGCTGGACGAGATCGAGAACATCAAGCAGGTCCCTCAGAAGCTGGAGGCCTGCATGGCCAGCAAGCACTACCTACACGCCACCGATATGCTGGTGGGTCCGTGTGTGTGTGAGAGAGCATGAGAGCGCAATGTTCCTCAGGGAATTATGGGCAGCCGCTTCTTTCAGGGTTGGGTCCAGCATTGTGCTTCCTGGGATCGGAACTAGCAACATACCGTTTACCACCTGCAGCCCAGATGAAGCATTTTCTTATGTTATTGCACCCCCTGTAGGCAGCTGCCTCCTGTGCGTTTCCTCATTATCCACCTGTCCCCCCGTCCCGGCCCTCCGCCC